CTGCGTCCTGCAGCTGCACGTCCGCTCGGTGAGTGCCCGGGCCGCCGAGCCCGCCTCCCTTCAGCCGGTCTCAGGCTGCGGGAGGAGCCGCGGTTTGTCCTTCCCCCGCTCCCAGCAGCCGGCCCGCTCTCCCGGCCTGCGGCTTTTTTACGGAGGCTGCGCCGGGTCATGTTGCCGAGCGGAGGCTGCGTTCCGTCTGAAACTCTGGGCTGGCTCCTGGGCGACTTCTGCCCCTTTCTGCATGTGCGTCCGGTCCCTGACCCCGCTGGGTTAGCAGCAGCCGCGCTCCTTTGCAGTCTTGCTTCCCTGCGGAAAAGATCTCTTTTTAAGAGATACTGATTCCTGGGAAGTTGTACAGTGTGGGGAATGTACTCTTGGAAAAACAAGGCGAAAGAAAGCTGAGGAGACAGCAGCATATGCACCCCTTTGAGCGATAGGGTCCCTGTGGGGACAGGATGTGGCCCTGGGCAGCTATGAAGTACCTGTCAAGGGTGTTTATGAAATAAATCAATGTGAAACAGGAGGATTTTATATTAGTCATGTGTAGGACTGCTCCCTTGTGCACTTTGCATAATTTTATGCTCATATACAAGGTGCGAGTAAAGTAAGAGTCTGTATCTTTCTCCTGATAACTTTCAAGAAGTACTGAGGTAGGTAGCGCTCTGTTCTGGAGTTGTTGGCTTCCCATGCTCTGGTCGCTCTAATCCAGAGCATAAGCCTCCTCTCAGTGTGAGTGCTGCCAGAATACTTGCTGCTGAAAGGGAAACATGAGGTACCATCCAAATAGTGTCCCAAATCGGGATGCTTTACCCCATGTGCTAAGTGCCAAAAAGTGCCCAGGGTCAAGGCATTTCTTTATTATAGACTTGCACTAAGCCAAGAGCTAGGTGATTTTCCACAAAGCTAGCTCAGCTCTGCACACAAAATATGGGGTTTTTTATACTATTAGAGGATTGACAGAAACCCACCCAAGTTTACACTTACTGGTTATTAATTAATCCTACATTTGTTATTGGCTAGTTGTGTTTAAATCAGCATACACGCTTCTTGAGGGCATGGAACGGGAAGTAAGTCTTTTTGGTCTCTAGTTGAGTCAGTGGTTATGATCTTGTCCTGTTGCTTTTACCGTTTTCCCCCAGTTTCACTATTCGGGTGAGGCCACTTTCTCCTGGCACTCTTGTCATCTTGTGGCCTTCATTAAAATAGGATGTTCTTCATAAGTTTCTTCTTATCTTGTCTCCCAGGCTTTAACAGTTGAAAGAAAATCAGGCTATCTAAGCCAAGTTTTTAAAAATTAGTAGCTATTTATGCTACTTATCATTGTCCAATCAGTTTTCCAGACTCTTCAGACTTCAGATCCAGAAAGTATATACTGGGAATGGACTCGGTGATCCTGATTGCTTAGCACCTTTGTTCCCAGGCTTGTGTGGCTGCTCTAAAACAGCTGTGAATTTCTGCACATAGATGGGGAGGATGTTGCCTTTATGGTGTTGCTCTGCTATCTGTGTTCATCTGCATAAGACGAGGCCAGCTTCCTTCCTGGAAAGGTGCAGATATGCTTTCCTTATTTGTTCCTACTGCCTTGAGCTACTCATATGCCAGGAGAGAGCAGGGAAGGTGTGTGCCCCAGGGTCGGGCTTCTTCAGTTGTGGTGTATTTGATATTCACCCTGCTCTCAAGTCTCTACTTATATTTTCCACTATAGTGGAAAGAGACAGGACAGGAAATCCACGACGCTGTTCTGAGTGCCCCTTTCAGGACATGTGGGTTGTTCGGTAATGTCCCTGCTGTGCTACGTAGTTCTCCCAGATAATCCTGTTAATGAGTGTATTTAGTTTGTTTTTAAACCAGTTGTTTTGGACTGCTTCCCCCCTGGAGACTAGTTCGGCATTTCACTCCTGTCATGGTTTGAAAACTTTCCAACCTAAATTTCCTTCTGGCTAGTTGATGCCCTACTCTTACCCAAATGTCAACACTGGCCTTTCACTGTATGTTTTTCCTTCTTTGGTGTTTGCTCTCTTGATGCATTTTTTGTGAAGCAGGTCTGTCGTTTCAGAGCTTTGTCACCTGAAGGGACCTGGTTATTCTGTGGGATAATCTCACCAGTCTTCTGATCATCTTAAGGGTGGTGGGGTGCTATTCCTCCACTTTGAATTTGCATTGATCAGGATCAGAATTGCATTCAGCATTCCAGATGGGATCTTACTGTTGCCTTATGTTATGTCAGGGGAAAAAAAGTCCAGTGTTCATCCTCTGTGTCTTAATATTAGTCTCTTCCCAGCTGCACTGCAGTTGTGTCCTTTATTAACACTCTCATCACCTTCCCCTCGGCCAGCTTTGAAGGTCAGCTCCCCCCACTTCTGCCATGGAAGGAAAAGCTGTTGTTAATACACAGTGGGTGAGTCTCATCTCATTGTCCCTCAAACAAGTTTTTCTGTATCTTTTAGTTGACCTCTGATTTCTGCATTTTAATTGGAAAACTTGCACAAGAAGGCCCTGACTTCTTGTGTCGGGGTCAGAAAAATACTAAAAGGCATGGCTCTCAGGATATATAGGGGAACTTTTTAATAGTCACCCTCAACTTGATGCCTCTCAGTTTTGCACATTATTGATGCAGTCCTTTGGCCAGTTCTGTATCACCTTGAGACCTACTAACTCCCATCTTCTGCATCCTAAGTAATGATTTCTTACGTGGCACCATATGATACCCTCTGTCCAGAAAACAGGCTCTCAAGAAATTGTCAGTTTATGCTTGATTATGAAAATTTCCTTGTTTACAAAACAAGCTGCTGGGCTTTTTTTCTACTCATGTTTTCCTACATGTCTTTATTCTTTACTTTTGCATATGTAAATATTCTAATTTGATTGGTTTGTAATTATTCAGATCTCTTTTTTTGCTTCACACGGGTCTTGAGTTTGTTATATTTCAGCAGCTGGAACTATCTTTGTTTTCATAACATAGGTTTTAGCTATATACTGATCCAGCAATTTATACTGTGTCCACTTGTTTTCTCTTTGTTGACTTTAGTTGTGCCTGAAGTTGTGTCCAAATTTCTGATTCCTTTTCTTGTTTGTTTGTTTGTTTTGTTGTGTTTTTTTTTTTCTTTTTCCACAATGCTCTGCATATTTCTCAGCCCTCTTTGAAACCTGTCTGCTACTGTCAGAAGTTCTTCTCTCTTTGTTTTTCATTTGCTTTAGGATACAGGTGAGTTTTGCTCCTTTTGACTTGATGAAATAACAAGATCTTTTCCGATTTGAGCCCACCAGCTCTTTGGTTTATGTCACTGCTAGTTTTCTTCATTTCTGAAAGACTCCTCTTCTGAAATGGAAAGCCTTAGTTAAAGACCTTATTTGGATTATCCTTTGGTTAATTGAAACAGAATAATTTATGATTGCTCAGATTGAAATTTCCTTGTTCTTTGGGGTTTTGTTTGAGGCTGATTTTGGTGCCTACTTCTGCTGCTGGCGTTTAGATTGCTCCTGTAACACCAGAGCTAAATTCACATTATTCTTCATCTTGTTGCTACTTGGAGAATTCACAAATGTGCCAGTGGAGGTAGGTAAAGCTTTATGCACAAAGATGAATTAATAGCATTGTGGATTACTGCCGGGTAAGGAGACTAAAATGGCAATTCTTCACATTGGGAAGCTTACTTTTGCAACTCTTGAGTCCAAAATGCTGTTCTATCTGGAAGCTTGCGCTCAGCAGAAGTGAATACTGTCCTTTGCCCTTCACAGGGAATTCTTGTTTTGATGATAGTGGGCCATTAAAGGGATTTTGCAAGGCCTGCCTTTTTTACTGTTTACATATGAAGCTAGGGTTTTAGGGCTGTGTGTACCAAACAAGTGCCATAGGGGCTTCTGGATCAATAGAATTCTGTTCCGTTCCACGAGGTGAATTCAGTGATTTCTTGATGGCTATTTGTGATGGTACATATTTTCCATCGTCCTGAAAACTGCAGCAGAGAAGTCCGGCGTAACACTATCATACACATTTGTCATGGTCCTCCTAGTTGGTTGTAAGATCATTTTGGTTGGAAGATACCTTTCGGATCACAGAGTCCAACCATTATAACCCAGCACTGCCAGGTCACCACTGAATCATGTCCCTCAGCACCACATCTCCACAGCTTTTAAACCTCTCCAGGGATGGGGATTCTACTGCTGCCCTGGGCAGCTTGGGTTAGGCCTGGACAACCCTTTCTATGGAGAAATTTTTCCTAATATCCAACCTAAACCACCCCTGGCACAACTGGAGGCCTCTCACTTTTCATCTCAATAAACAGGCAAACACTGGTTGCCTTCTCTAAGGTGAAAGCCACAAAACTAAAAATGATTGTAAATTCTAATTCTACCAAAAAAATCAAGAAGAAAAGTGAGGACCAAGCTAGTTCGACTTGCAGTATGTAGGTTGGGGGAAAGAATGTATGAATGAAATCTGTCTCTTGCACTCACTCCTGTTCACACTTGCAACTACTTGAGTGTTGTAGAACCTGTTTAATGCCTGACACTGTTTCAGTTGGGATATCTATTATTCTGGCACTTTTTCTGCAGATTTGAAGCCCTCATTTACATGGAGGGGAAACCCTTTTTCTTTTTTTTTTTTTCCCTCCACAGATATTTATGAGTAGAAGTACTATTTTTTTAGCTTATACTATGTCTATAATCCACTATCACACATTGGTTTCTGTTATTTCTTTCTCCTGAGGCTGTTTTTCTGCTGTTTATATAGTTCTTTTTTAAATCCAGCTCAAGTAAAACGTTCATTTGGGGGTGGGAGGCTGTAACCAAAGCATTTATTTTAATTCCTGTCACTCTCCTCCTTTGTCTTTCTACCTGGCAATTGAAAGTCTGAGCGCTTTCTCCAGCAACCTTATGTTGGAAGAGACAACCTCATATTTATTATGCTGTGATAAAAAGTGAGCAGTAGAGCTGAAGTGAAAGGTGACAATTCTCTGGCTGGGTAATAGAATAAAACCATGTGGCTTGGAGAGAACAGCAAATAGTTCTTCAATGAGCTGTGTACATCCTTGCAGTGAAAACACAAGTAAGAACGTTTGATGTGCATCAGAGATTTAAAAACATAACAACCTCTTCTTACTTAAAGAGTAAGACTTGTCCAGAGAAAGTTGAGAGATTAGTGGCAGTATCTGGCAGCCTAATAAGGAGCCTTCCCTGCCTTGAATACCCCCCAGGGTGGCCAAACTTCTCAGATAAAAATTTGTGTGCCGTGTATCTGATAGTAACAGAACAACTGTTACTTTTTCCTCATTTACAGATCAGAAGGCAAACTTAATATAATATTTTCAAATAAACTTGCCCTTTTTGGTAGCCAGACAGCATACGGATATCTAGGCATGCACAATTACCAGCTTCATTCTCTCTGTAGCTAGGCTAAAATTTGGATAAACATTGGTGTCTTGCCATCATGTGGACTTCATTCTATGTGACTCTTCATACAGAGCCTGATGTGATTAACTCTTCGTTAGTCAGTGTGTTAACCTGGGATTGAGATACCAAGTTGCATTTTGGGTTGAAGACAGTGGAGTGTGCTTACTTACAGCAAGAAGAATTTGGTCCTGATTATTTTCAGATGGTGACTATTTTTCCTACTCAGTTTGTACACACAGAATTGCTTCAGAGAAGACATTTTTTCACTCTAGTCTGTTATAATCTGTCAGATATCAATCAGTTCAGCCTTGACCATTTCATTTTTATCTTGAAAACAGCCATTACTTCTCTAACTAAAGTTCAATTTGTTTAATGAGTGTGTTACTTTTACAGATAACTTGCCCTGGAGTGCTGCTGAAAGACAAAGAGGAACTTTATCTCAGTGTCTCCGTACTTGGACAGTATAAAAAAACTCAGTGCGTCCCTGCAGCATTTCCACTCATCTTTCAAGAAAAACTACTGTTTGAGAAGGTAAGATAATGTCAAAAGCCAATACAAGCCAAATAAAACGCATCCCAAGCTACACAAAAACTCAGTACAAACCCCTCAGCATGAGTAATCACACTGGGGATGGCAGAGTATTAGAACTCCTGCTGCTCTTTGGCGCGAAGGCAGTTGTGTGCCTATGGCATACACACAGTGACTCGGGGATTATGCATACTGATGATCATCAGGTATGATGAGGCTTTTTAGGTCTTTGTTCATTCTTTTGTGGACTGTCCTTTTTCAATGTCTGTTTTCCTGGCTTGGAAGGAGCTGAATGTTGCTGTTCTAAAAATTATGACAAAGTGAAGAACAAAGAATATACGATATAGGAGAGTCAACTTAATTTAGTTGAGAGACAGAATAGCAGCTCAATCCTTTTTGGTGACAGCTTTCTCCCTTTGAGAGACTTTTTTCGTGGTTTGTCACCAGAATTCCCAGATTGGTAGTCTGGCCTTATAATTTATAGTTGTTTATCACATATTCTGAGTCCCTACTAGCTTCATTATTACTACCACAGGGATAATGAAACATAGTATCTTACAGATATGATCTGGCTTCTTGACTACCTCTGAATAATAATACTTTGCCTTTTCTGGTTCTTTGTTTTTAAGCATCCCCTAGCATGTTGAAAACCAGACTGAGTAAACATCAGTGGTGCTCTGGTGATGTGGCTAAACATACAAACAGTGATAATTTTACCAGCTATTGGAGAGTGAAAAAAGGACCATGTTTTTTTAAAGTCAAACACCACAAATTACTTAAAGGAATGTGCTAATACTGTTTTCAGTGTAATTTAGGGGAAGGCCAAGACACCAGGATCTATCTGCTTTGAAAAGAAATGAACAAAGGTGCTGAGAATAGTATCTGTCTTCCTACCAATAACTATTGATTAGGTCTAGATACTTGTGGAGCACCACTGCTTGGTGATTTTCAGTGTTTGGTACCTTGAACAGCAAAGTGATCCACACCACTCTGCTGAGACTTTTGTACAGAATTAGGGTCAAGTTCGTTACCTGCCAAATATCCAGTGCAACGTCCCCCCCTGTTCCTTGCCATCTGGTCACATGGGGTCCAGGTTAAAAGCCCCTTGAACAGCACTCGACATGAATAGTCACTGCTGTGAAAATGAAGCTTACAATGTTACTAATATATTGAAGAACATATTCTTCGTCTACTAGAATTCCAGTATATTCAGCAATTTAGCTGTCTCTTGAAATTTTCTCAAATACTTCTACATGTCTAACTCTTTACAATACCTCTTAATTTAAGTATGGAGAGGTAGCCCTGGATGGCTAGAAAGCATACAAGAAGACCTGATACCCTTCAATTAAGTTGATTATGTGCCAAACCATTATTTGAGTTGGTTTTTTTTTCTTTTTCCAGTGAGGATAGGAGACTTAGCAACTATCTTGGCCAGGAGGGATGTCGATTTTATTTTTTTCCGTTTCTCTTTCCCCAGAAGTCTGTCTGATGACTTTATGACTTTGACTGTCCCATTATTACCATTCTTAATTTCTTTTCCAGGAGTTTGCTGATATAGTTGATCCTGGAGACCTTGTGGAGTTACTGGAATGTAGGTTCTGCTTTTTAGTGTCATGGGTGTGTGGGCTGTAAAGACTTTTTGGAGGTTTAAATGGTGATAGTTTTACTATCAGGAGCCTGTTCTCTGAAAAATCTAGTGGGTAACCAATGTGGTAGGTATATCATGTACTAAATAAGTAGGACTCCAGCACTCGTGGGTTTTCAGAGTTCAAGATTCAATGTTGGTGCAGGCAGAGTTTTTTTTCTCTCTTTTGTTACTAGTAACTTAACCAAAATACTGGTATCTAACAAAATGCCTCTAGAAATATATGCTACATGCTTGAGAGCAGGAAAAGGAAAAAAAGTCATAATTAATGGAAAATCCAGCTGGTTATCAAGCTAGATAATGGATTCCTTTATCTGACCATTTGATTTATTTTCAAATAATATAAGTGTAGAGCTTCAATTTTTGTAAAATTCTTTTAAAAGAAAATGTCTTGCCAAATGTGGAGCATAATGAACTCTAGTGAGACACTGACCCTGTATTTGGACTACAGAAATGTGCTCCCTCATACTGGGAGTTGTCTGAAAAAGTGGCAAAGATTGCATCATCTTCTTTAAAAGAAAGACAAACTGGACAGCAGATAGAACTCAACAAGTTCTAAGTCAAATTTAGAGCTGTCATTTCCACACTGCTAATGCCATTGTGTTCATGCTATGTGGTATTTAGGCAAGCTGGTCTTTAATTTTCTCGTGTTGTTGATGTAGTGGAAATAGTGCAGCTATGTGCAGTGCTATGAAGCTTAAATCAGTGTGGGTTTTGACTAGGAGAATTACTTTCATTTCAGTATTTTTGAACTCATTTAAAAACTTTTTGCCTTTCTAGTTGACACAGCAGTACTCGAACTAATACAGCTCGTTCCTCCAGGTATTGTATCAGTCTCTTCATAAATTATGCAGTTTAATAGGTGAATTTCCATGAGGACATTGCCCATTACAGCACAATCACTTTTTCCAACACACAAACAACAGAGAAAGCTCTTCAACAAATAGTCCTCTGAATATAAAATGTTAATAGATCAAGAGGATCTCATTCTTGAAAGAGAGCAATAAATGAATATTGAAATGTACCATACTCAGGCTTAGGAAAGTGATAATATTTAAAAATGGAAAGTAAACTGAAATCATGCAGTGCACACTTATTAACTGCATCACAATTCACTTGCAAAGTGACTGTCTGTGAAATTTCAGAGTGCATAATCTTGTTCTCAGAATGACACTTTTTTTTCTTCCATTTTAATGGTGACCATTGGGAAAACTGTTATCCTCACTGTAAGTATTAGAGGTCTCTTGGGATATGTGGAGATAATAAATAGCAATTTGTCATACTTCTGTTATTGGTTTGTATGATTATAAAAATCTATTTTAATGAAATTTGAGTGTCCCCATGAATAATGTAAGTCCGTATTTTATTGGAAATGGAGTCAAGTTTTAAAGAGGACTCCTTTGGAAACTCTGGTATTAAAAGCACTCTCTGTCACTTGTCCATAGTACTTTTAAGGCAACGGTTGCTTCTCTCAGGTGACTCAGCAAGCCGTTTACTTGAAGAAATAAACTGAATGTGGACTTTTGTTGTTGGAGGGTTAAAGATTTTGCATAATGAATTTCATTTCAGGATCAGGGGAAGGTGTGATACAGCCCAACATAAGCTGACAAGATGGCTGCAATAGAACTATTTAATTTTTTTTTTTAATAAAATATGTACAAGGTTCTCCCAGGGTAGTGAGAAAATCTTGAGATAATGATTTTGATGTTGCTTGCACTTTTCTTACTACTATGCCTCCTATTACTGATACTGTTACTGTCCTGTAATACAGAATGATGTGGTTTTTCATAAGGGATTGGCTGCCATTAAAAAATATACTGGTTTCTTCTGTGGCATGGAAAGGAAAGAAAGAGAAAAACTACTGAACTGTTGCCTAGAGAAAACTTTTCATATGTCTCTTATAGAACAGTTAATACAATCTTCTTTAATTTTTTATAATAACAGTGAGATATACTTTCAGAGTAGACTTTGCACTTTTCCGTTGCTGATTTAACTTTATGAGGTTATTTTCTTGTGTGATATAAGTTTTAGAGACATGCTGTTAATTTGCAAAGAGCAAAATTTATCTTAGTTTCAATATGGTCTTGTGTGTGGTGTCTGTTCTATATCTGGCTTTGTCTATTTTCCAATTAAAGTATATCTTTTCTTTTTAGGAGGAAAAATTCTAGCTACATATGAAGAAAATACAAGAGATTTCCTGTTCCCTGACCCTAAGCGTACCCATGGGCACCATGGTTTAGATCGTGAGATTTTAATGAAGAGGTCCTCTTCCTTTACAGTGAGTGAATATCTGTGGATTGTACTTATGATACAGTATGTTTCACTGAAGAAACCTCTTGAACTACTTCAAATGAAAAGCGATTACTTCTGACAGGTTTTGCCATTTCAGGTGTTGAATGTACAGATCCACAGTTGAACTTTGGCAAAGGTATAATCTTTTTTTCAAAACGCTTCAAGAAATTATTTAATGTGAAAAAGTTAGTTTCCACTTAGTTTGCAGCGTGGCACCATGACATGTCTTCCATTCAATTTATTCTGTGGTGCAGCTGGTAGTTGAAGGGATGCAAGAGAAGAGGGAGATGCCAACCATCTTGACAGCTCTCAAGAGATAAACCTTGCAACTCTCCCCCTCAGTCTCTCTTTGTAGCATTTTGTTTCAGACCATTTTTGGTACTATTTAGGACAACAACAGTCAGTACGAATTATTAGTGCTATGCCGTTTGACCCGTGAGCATCCCTGAAGTGCAAGATCACCACTAACATAGTAAGTCACTGGGATGTGGCTGAGTGCTCGACAATTGTTTTTCAGCTCTAAAGCCTGGTTCTTAAGGCCTCTTCAGGCCATTAATGCTCATTTAGTAACTTGCATTTTCTACAATTTAAAAAAAGCTATGATAAATGACAACTAATTGACAGAATGAGTGCAATGAATTAATGTTAATTTTCTGGAGATGAGGGCTCAAGTACATAGTAAATGAAGATGAATTCATCTCACACTACCCTTTGGTAGAGTTTAACTGTTGATTCTTAGGTGTCAGTGGAATAACTCAGGAAGGCACTTTGAAGATGATGGTGATGACGTGGGAGATGTTTGGGGTCTTATTTTGTTAATTTTTACTAATGGATTGGCAGGACATTGGCTTGGGAAGATAGGGACTCAGTCGTGAATGGATTAAAAACACATGACAGGAGGGAAATGCTGATTAAAGGTCACTGGTATCTTTTATCTGGCATAATCTTTCCCCTGCAAAGGCAACCTGGAAGTCACCCAGTCACTTGCAATTAGAAGTGCTAGTTTGGTGTCTAATGCTGTGCTATATTTCCATGAATGAAAGCTGTGATTTTGGTCCTGCAGCAGCTTAAACTGTCCCTGCAATAATCGCCATTATTTTTTGGCATCTCTTTGATGTGGCTTATCCTATGGATGATAGTGGTGACTCAAGAGGCTGGCTGGGACTGTACTGCTTTCGGATTACTTACAGAGTAGGTACTTTTGTGGGGCTGAAAAAGAATAGATAGGCTGGTAGTAATAAATGAGGTATAGTCATAAATTAGGAAAATGGCTTCAGATTTTGTGGAAGCAAAACCACTAGAGAAGTTTACAGGGTTTTGTTGGACTGAGTTCTTCAAGGCATATTTTCTAATAAAAAGAAAGTACCATTATTTGTGAGCTGCGAGAAGATGTGATCAGAGACATTTGGATATGTAGCTGAATGATGACACTCCAGTAGCTTTGAAAGTTGACCGGCTTAAGATAGAAATGTACTTCCGTGTCCTTGGGAGCAGCATAAATGAAATCCATCTCTGCCCTGGAACAAGGGCTGCAGAGAAGCATGTGTTGCTCCATTCCATCAGGAATGGAACAACAGGAAGAACAGTGTCAGGAAGGGTTTTGAAATAATGACCCCCTTTTCAGGAATAATAAAGAAGCTGTGTTTGATAGAATTGAAGAGTGGCTCATGGAAGGAACTTGTGGTTCCTCTCCTTCCTTGCCAAATGGGGTAGCTGTGAGGGGATTTTTACCTCCAGTAGAAATGCAGTTTCAAATGTCTCCATCTTGTAGCATTCCCTAAGCTTCACTGGCAGGTATCTGCTGCTAACTCAGCCTGCACCAAGCGCTGAATGTGAATGCTAAGCAAAAGGGAGTGTTAAACAGGGTCGTGAGAACCCTCACATTATTCCTGTGCTATGCTAGTCAAGCTGTGTTCTTCCCACATGACAAGTTATTTATAGCTAACTGAGATTTTGAGTATTTTTTGACTGACAGCTGTGCTTCAGTGACACTTTTGTTCCAAATAAATTTGTCTTGTACTAAAAAAAAATGAAGGTAGCAACAGCAAGGTTACAGTTGTGGAGCTGGGATAGGTTGTGACAAGCAGTGTCTGATTAACACTACTAATCTGCCAGTTGGAAGGAATCCCAAGTTGAGAGGATCAGAACTCCTCCAGAAATCTGGCACTTGGCTGATAATGTCTCTGGCTAAATGTCTTGTGAGGCTTAGAAACACAGTACTCATACAAGACGTGCCTCAAGTTATCTCTCCTGGTCCAGTGTTGCCCAGCTGAGGCTTTTGCTGGCTCATCTGTATTTCTCTGCAACCCTTGCCTTTCAGAATATGTTTAAGCTTTGACTGGTGGTGACTTCTTACAGATGTTCTTATCACTGTTCTCCACCCTCATGCAGTATTTGCCATGTTATTTCAGTTTCTTTTTAGTTATGCTATCTTTCATTAGTATACCCATACAAGACCTTCTATTATATTCACATATACTTTTTTTAAGCTATGGACTTGTACTTGTGCTCCTTGCAGTCAAAAGCTTATATTGGTCTTGTTTTCTAAGTCATGTTCTTCTAAAGATGAACCACCATACAGTCGTGCTATGATCGTATTAATATTATGTCCATATCACTTCTGTTTAATGACTGGTACTGACAAACCTGCTCAAGGCTGCAGACACCACAAAGCTGGAGGCAGAAGAATAGATCCCAAAACCTTTTTGACTGGATTTTCCTTTACAGATATGTTTGGAGCTATTTGGCAGTCTTTACATAAGACTGTATGGAATATTCTTCAGCAATCCCTAGCTTAGGAACTGCAGAAAACAGAAGAACTCCTCTGTTTGTTTTTGGCCTATAAGTTGCTTTTTACATATCTGTGCCTATGTATGTGAGTGCTGTCCTGTATTCCCTTGTCACAAAACATTTCTACATGTTTTGGAAAAAAAAACACAGTTCTGTGTGATTTTATTTTTTAATTTTTAAGTTTTTTTTTTTCAGCTCTGAGCATTTAACAATTCTGTAATCTTTCCCAGGCTTTGTAGGAGCAGTAGGTGCTCTATTGTTGCTTTTTATAGAACAGTTACTAATTCTGATGTGTCCTTTCTTAAATTGTTGATAGCACTTGACAATTCATTACTAATAAAAATGAGTTGATTAAAGACAGTCAGCTTTAAAATCTCTTTTATATGCCATAACTTGACTTGATTGAATGCTAGACCCTGTTAATTGCTATGACTGAGCTTTCTTGGCATTTTTTTTCATTTCATTTCCATAATCTAACCTGGGGCTGGATCCTATTCCCTTATGGGAAATCAGTGTGTGTTTGGGCAGGTGGCAGAGAACAGTTTGGTTCCGCAGTAGACTTCACTCAAGGTTCCTGCTAATTCTTAAGAATGTGGAGCAGAGTTACAAACAGACCAGCTCCTTTTTGTTTCTCAGTGATTTTGTGTGTTCATGTGCACAGATGCCCCTGCATGTAGATGCCTCAGGGCAGCAACCCCTGTGTCAAAAGAAGAAAGGGTGGAAAGTTCTAAGGACACTTGATTCTCTCTTTGCTCTGCAGAGCTCTCTAAGGTGCACATAGATGATTCCCACTTGTTTATGGCATATATGGCCTTTAGTGCTGTTTTGATGTTGCTGGTTTACAAAATGACACTTGTGTAGCATAATCTTTGCCATTTACACACAGTAAATTTTGTATACATCGGCCAATTCTAACTGAATTTAGCAGGAAGCAGAACTCTAAGAAGTATACTCTAAGAGGTATTATGTTCCTAGGCATGGCTGCAGTAAAAGAAGAATTGTACAGAAACTCTTAGCTACGTCACGACTGAGGGACTTGGTGGCCATTAGCACCTGTGTACTGGTCGACCAGGAGGTCCAGTTGGACCCCACTGATTCCTAATTGATCCAATTAGGGCTGCCTCTTCCAGCCACATGTGTAAGAGGGGGTTGAGAGGAAGTGGACCACGGTTATAGAACATGGGAGACAATCCACAGAAATCAAACTCTGCTCTAATGGTTACAGAATTAAGGGTATTCTTAATTGTACTGTTACAAATGAACAGTTTTTTGTAGTGTAATTAACTAATTTTCAAAATGTTTTTACAAAAAAGATTTCACAATTGAAATTATTTATACATAAGTTTCTAAAGTTAGTGTTAATGAAACTTCTAGAGCATGCTTGGATTTTTTATTGATGTTATACAGCATGGCATGAAAAATCTTTAAAAGTGCTTCTGACAAAGAAATGTATTGAAATAAAAGTCAGACCTCAATTGTTGTACGAAAGCAATATAATCATCTGTAATTGAATTGTCAGAAATGCAAATGTTAGCATCTTGACATTTACCATTGCTGTTCTGTCTTTTCTAATTATCTTTATTAAAGGCTAAAATTAACAAAGGAAATGGCTGAAAATTAGGAATGGTTTGTTACATTAGGTGACATTTACTGCTTTGATACCCTTTATCTTGAGTTGGAGCTTGATGTTCAATTATTGTCTCTCTTCTAGGGAATTGCACCAAAATTGAGATTTTCTACAAGCTCCCTTATTACAGAAAGTCTCTTAAGCTCAGGAAGGAGTCACATACAGGTTAGCATAATTTAATTGTTTGCAATTTAATTTCTAGATTTAATAGTGATAGCCTTGGTTCCAATTTTTGCACATGCTGCTCACTTCAAACTTTTCTTATTCTTTTGTTGTGGTTAAAACAGTTATCATGGGTGCCTGACAACTTGATTAAATTTTTAATAAGTGCGAGTAAAGAGTGGTTTTGGTGCATGACAGTAAATTCTGAGAATTCTTTGAATCTGAAACAATTATTAGCTGCTATGTTCTATGATCGGCTGAAGTGTCAATCCCTGGTGTATCTTTAGGTGGGAAGATGCCTTCTCACCATTTCTTACTGCCACTTAAGGACGGGGAAATCTGGGTGAAGTCAGAGAGGGTACATTAGCAAAACCAAAACAATTAATTTAATTGTTTTGCATAACGATATCAGTAATGGAAATGAAGATTTTTGTTGAAAAGGCTGTCACTAATACTAATCTGGAAATGCTTCCGAGTAAAGTTAAATGTCAAGTAGCTGAAGAAACTGGGGGGAAAAAAACACCCCTGATGTGTTTGTTCATTTGGGAGCACTCCTTTCTCACAGACTGGAGTTTTGGTTGAATTTCCTGGCACAAGCTGGCACATAAAGTTAGTCTTCTACCCTCCATTTTTTTTTCCTATATGATTGAAAAATGATTTGGCAGCATAAAAATGAAATGGTTGTCAGGAAGGCTTGCATGCAAAGAGGGTTAGGTAACTGTGACCGACCTGTTTGTGGCATTGCTTATTGGTTTATTGAGAAATTTTTTCCAAATTTAGCAAACAAAATGTATGGAGACACTTAGATAAAGAATTAAGAAAATCAGTTACAATTGTCATTGTCAGAAAAATAGCTTCCCTAAAGGTGACTTCAAAAAGGGCAGTTTGATTTAAAATATAAGAAGTCCTTAAAACTATTTAATGTGTGATGAATGGCATATCAAATTTGCATGTGTTGCAGTGAAGTTTGGTTTCATGACTGGTGTAAGCCAGAAGCCTGGCCTACTTCTGGTGAAATCAAAATTAATCCTAGAGAATTAGGTCTGGTTTTGTTTGGGCCAGTTCCATGTTCACTGCCAGCTGCTCAAGTGCTGAGACAGACAGTGGCATGAGTAGTCCGTGTGGTGCCAGGTTCAAGCTGTGCTGGTACAGAAGAAACACACAGCCTCAGCCTCGGTAGTTGTTGGGTGCTGAGGGAAAGCCTTGAAGGCAAGCTGGACATTGCTGGGTTGCTTTCCCAGAATCTGAAATCGGTCACTCAAGAAGTTCACAGTGACTCGGGTAGGGTATCAGTCCTGATTTTGGGGTTGCCTTTGCTGGTAATGACAACAGAACTTAAAACAGCACCACCCATGTCCCATGTTGTGGGAAGAGGTGGTGAGGTTGGTTGTTTCTCCACTGTCCTTTATTCTGCTGTGTATTTTAAAAGCAGTATCAGCTCAGAGGTATTCCTTTAAGGCAATATTTGATAATGGTGAGATTTTAATAAATTTTAGCTAAAAAATCCATGTTTTGGATGTCAAGTGACAGTTGTACAATTAAACAGCTGCTTTGCCTCTTTGCAAAAGTATTCATGTGATTTGAGAGGATCTCTGGAAGATGGTCTTTTAAAGTGTTTGGGGACTTTTTTGGAGAGGGAGTGGTGTCTTTCACCAAACATAGCTTCGTAATTAAAACTCTAAAGAAACAGTAAATTCACCGTGATCCAAGAAAATATAAATTTCAGGGAATGTAATTACACTTCTGAGACTTTAGACAACTCTAAATGCATATAATTTTAGGTTACTAACTAGGTTTCTATTTTATGTGTTTTATTTTAAAGGGTAAGGATTTTAAAAGGTTAAAAAAAAGTTTAAATAGATGAATAAATGCTTGAAATCTGTGTATGTCCAATGCAGGTTAAAAAGAACTTGTGACAAAAATGTTTAATTTTTTTTTATTCTCACTCTGTGAGAAAACTAATTGGGCAAGTATCAGACACTTAATAGCTGACCTGTAGTAAAGTGTATTTTAACCTCTTTCTGGTTTCGGATAAAATGGTAAATACATTGTTGTGTTTAAAATTGCTGTTTGTTGCAGTTTTGTGAGGGGAACTTGAGCTGACATGGCACATATTTCTGTTAAAATTATTACTTCCCTCTTTGCATCATTTTCAGCGATCTTTGTTCTGCCTGCTGTCAAACCAGATAACTTCTCTTTTTCACTTTAGGGTGACTTGAATTGGGTACATCACTCAACCCCAAATGGAAAACTGCAAACAAAGTTACCAAAGAAGAATACTCTTTCACCTGAGAAAAGCAGGCACAGCTTAGCAACAAAGAACTACGAGCTGCCTACAATAGCTTCTAAATCACGTTCTCCATCTCCGTACACTAGAAGGCGAATGTGTGAGCTATCAACAGAAGCCAGGCAGCGACTGGCCCATTTAAACCTCGGTCCTTACGAATTCAGAAGAGAAACTGATAAACCTCCATTTGTAGTGAGACGGGTTTGTATTCTCTCTGAAGTGCCTCCAGCTTAAGCCCAGATCAAATATTGTTCTTTCACTAAATACTGCTCAAAAAATTCATTCAGCTCTTAGTTTAGATGAGTAATTTCTCTCTCCTTAAGTCTGTCACGTAGTGATTTAAATGTAAAATTAACTAAAATAAAATTTCTTTTATCCACGTTAGTAACAGACAAAGATCAAATTCTTTCATGAATATCTTGGTTAAATTCTCTGAGGCCCCATTTCTTTTCTTCCAGCACACTAGACAGGATAATAGGTGTATAAATTCAGCTTGGAAGTAATTGATATTAGTATTAAAAATTCCTGAATAAGACTTTAAAGAAAGACTGTCTAGTCACATTATGAACATTTACACTTCCTCTTTCAACTTTTTTTTTTATGTTACCATTCTATGATCTTTGAAACACTTCCTTTCCTCAGAGCAACATCTCTAACACCGACTTAAGAGTTCATAAGCAGCCTGACTTTAACACCCATATAAGGACTTTGTGCTAACCATACATGAAAAGTTGTTCTGAAATTAGGTGCTTATTTAAAGAAACCGTATTCAAGTGCTTTAATACAAAGGGAGCAGTTTTCCCAGGCTCTTGGAGGGTCATAGTCTCTTACATATATTTTTTCCTCTTATTTTTTCTTATGATTGCAACAATCCTTTATTTTTAGAAAGCCACTTTAAATGTGTGGGCAGAAAGAGGACTGTTCAGATTCTGTGCTATGACATAATGATTTGTCTACTATTCTGGGTACTTGTCACAGCCATTGAGATAATTTAACACTTAATTAATTTGCTTTTCACTTTAATTTTTTTCTCATTTATGTACAAATGTAGTAATATCTTGTTAAATTTTAGAATTCTTTTCCAAGTTTTATTGTACATATAGGTACTTTTTAGAAATTCAGATTAGCCTTAATAAGCCATTAATAATTTATAAACCTACTGTTTATATCTCTGTCAGATACTTTAACTCATTTTAATCAATACTTCTGTTTTTTGATGTATAGGTGAATTTCACAATTTAATTATGGCATCTTTAAGCACTGATTACTGATTTTGATTCCTTGGCTTGTGTCTTAATGTACTATATCCTGATCGTCATGGCCTTTCTAGATTAAGAGTGCTTTTTTTAGGTTGCTTTTGCTGCTGTGGACTCTTTTGGACCAGAGATTTTGTGTTACATGAAGATTAAAACTAGATTATGTTGAATGTAACTTTTTAATTAGGAAGAGATTCAGATCTCTCTTGGTAAGATCTGAACTGTTTGGAATAAATAAGAGATAATAAGAATTGTTTAAAAAGACTGCACACGTTGTAGATGGAGAGAAACCATCCATATTTTATATTTTTTTAACAATATGCTATTCAGTGTTAGCACTGTTATGGTTTATGCACAGTGATGCTACTAAACAAAATGAGAAAAATGTTGTGAAAATAGTTTTAAATCATATTTAGATAAGAATTAAATATTTCAGAAAGGGCTAGATGTGATCTTATGAACGAAAACAGAAAAAAAATTAGAACTTGGTACATTTGATACTGAGTATTTTTAACAGTCTTTTTGCTTCAGGTTGAACAATCAAGTCCTAGTATTAAACTTCATACTTGCTGTCCCACGCAAGAAAGCTCAGCAGAAGCCTGGACCAAGGCAGACTATGGTCAGTAATTTCTCCTATGTATTTCATTCATTATTTTGTTTCCTGCAGTAGTTTAATGAGGTTATTTTGTTTTGGCTTTTCATTTATTATAAAAAGTTCTGTCTATAAAGGGAAAAAGGTGTTCGTCCTTCCTAGGAACAGGAAGAACACCAAATAAGTTACTGCTGCAAGAGGTTGTTTGGAATAGTTCTTGACCTGCTGAAAGTTGGAACATAGTTGTACACAACATGAAAGTAGGAGTAGGAGTAGAAAATAGCAAAGCCCAGGCGAGTGCTCGGTTCCACTCCATTTGTTTTGATGAGCTGGATAGCAGAGCAAATCTGTGTCACGGTCTGTGGGTGTGTTGATCAGTCTTGGTGTATTGATCATTTTGAAGTGCAAGGGCTCTGTTGCTTTAGAAATGAATAATGTTCATTTCAGCAGTATTTTTGAGTAGTGGATCAGTGACTTACCAGTATTAATGAGCATCCAGGATGTGCTCCAGTGTCTGCTTCAGCATTCATTGGTATCAGTAAGTGAGGGTTTAATGAAAGGTATGGGACCAGAAATTTAAGGAAGTACCCTAAAACTTGTTTTTATTGCAAGTGTCTGGCAATATGAGGATTTTAATGAGTCTCATCAGTATTTGTTTGTTATGTGTGTTCTGCCTCATTTTTATTGCACCTCCTCACTAATTATAAATTGTTATATAGCTAATCATTATGAACTTGTTATTTTACATTTGTTCTTTGGAGTAGCACTGGGTGCAGGATTGTAAAAGTTTCATGTTCCCTGTGGGATCACACTTACATTATCCAGCTACTACAGATTGTAACAGACCTGTTATCTTCTGATACCACTTCATACTTAGGAAATGAGTTGGTGGTTTCTGGACGGTGGTTAAGAGATCAGAATCTACCTCACTATTAATATCCAGCAGATTCACTGGTCGCCTGCCTGTGTGGAAAAAAAACCCCACATATTACTAGGATTAGGAAACTTAATATTGACAGTATAGTTCAGCCCCACATATGTTTCCATGGGCTTCACACTCATGTTTGTGGGTCAGCAGTGAGGGAAGGAATGATGAGGTGCTAGGAGGAGGGAGAGGTGTTGTAGGGAAGTTTGTTCAGAGAAGATGAGTAAGGTAGTGTAATGTACATGAGAGTTTTGGGGGATGGTAGAGTTTGATTTTACATTTAGGCAATTAATAGCTTAACAAAATGTGTCGCTTCTGTCCATAGAAGACAGTGCGTGCCCTGAGTCAGTATGATAAACATGGGATTCCGTTAAGTGTGAAGTCATTGTTTTCAGCTAAAACAAGTGGTTTCCTGAAATATTCTGAGCACGCTGTTTAGAATTTCACAATGTATAATACTAATAATAAGTTGCTTTAGTGCTGGTTAGGAAACAACTGCTTTACACTTATTACTAGCGGTAGTAGTATTTAACAATTACTATAACCTATTTTGTAAAGATTTCATAAAAAATGAAATATTGGACATTTGGACATTTGGATTTTCTTTTGAATTTTTTCTGCGATGCACCTTTTTTCTTTCTCCAGATCCTTCTCTTCTTGGCAGCTACAGACCCAAGAAAGCTGAAGTGAGTACTCAGAAGTGCTAGTGTTTACACATTGTTTTTGGGAAATGCTGAGTGAGAAGCATTGTTTTGCATAGGTATTTTTAAAATTTTATCTCCTGTAGTATCGGAAGCAAGAAAAGGGACGTTTGAAATCTGATCTGTCTCAGTTTAGGCCTGGTGACAGATTATTTACAAATAGAAATGTGAAATTTAACACTTTATAAAATAGTCGTGCCTGTAGGAACAAAACTTCCTCCTCCTTGGTGTTAAAGCTTGTGACAAGGCTGTAGAAGAGCCTTTAAATGCTGTTTGCATTTGCCTTCCCAGTCATTCTGAGAGCATACTTCATTCTGGAACTCTATGGAAAGGCAGCACTGGTACAAGAGGCAAGCCACTGTTCTGTTATGTCACATCCTTCCTTTTTCAGACTTTAGCTGCTTTGTGTATTAAATGGATCTGAAGATTAATGTCAGTGTTCCTTTGCTTTTTGGAGTTTATTCTTTCCATCCATTTATTTATTTTTTGCCTGGGTTCCTGAAGTACTGTGGAAATTGTGGGTTTAGGCATTTAATTATGTACACCCTCTTAAATTTCCTGATGGGTGAGAAAACTGATGATAACAAGGAGGAAGGAAGAAGGGGAACTATAAGGATAAGCCTTGATATATGCTAAGTGCTCTTCTGTCAGATTCTAAACTTTTATTACCAGGGATTGCAGTTTAGTGTTCCACTTAAGTCTAATATATTGTGCCACTTCTAGATTGTTCCATGGCTGTAAATGAGGAAGTGTGAAGAAAATAGAGAATTTCTACTGAATATGCTAAATATGGTTTGTGTCCTCTTCCCCCATCCTTCTGCCCTCCCTCCACTACACCCAACGGGAAAGTGGATTTTAAGATAATCTGACATTGGAGAATGCAGATAGCTGAGCTACAGGTTAACTCATCATGTTCTTGATGCTGCTAATCCCTTTTCAAAAAATCAGGGCTGAAGAGAATGTATCTTTTTCTTGAAATATAAAACAGATTCACTAAAGAACTGATTCTCAAATCTGAAGGGAAAAAAAAGATCTGCAGCCTAGAAAATGCTAATGAATAATCTGAGTATTGTTGGTATGGTTTTGTTGTGGGGTCTGACATTTTTCCTCAGCTTTGGGAAGCAGCTCTTGTAAGAAGTCCCCATGCCAGGGAAAAAGGGGTAACACACTGAGACATTTTAGTGGTGTTTCAGATTAAGAGGAAATATGAAGGGAATCACTAGTATAGTGAAGAGTAAGTAGAAGATGAGTGGGTGGGCCTGAGTTTTCCTTTGAGGAACAACAAATCAAGAGGAGAAAAAAAATGTAAGAATGAGGAGTCTCAGACTGAGAAGTCCAAGGTTTGTGTTGTTTAGACTCTTGGGCATCATTCTGAGTCTCTTGAGATTCATGGGAAGGGCAAAACTTTAAACTGTGCAGTCAGAAAAGGTGATAAAAGGGCTGTTACAGTAGACTTTGCTGTAAGATGGTGTGTTAGATACCAGCGGAGTCCTTTGACACTTTAACAAGGGCTCTCTCTATGAAATGAGGGTCCTTGTTTTTTCCCCAGCAGGCAGATATTCCCATGTGTATGTGCAACCTTTAACCTTCTGGTTTGAAAAGTAAAAATATGAAAACTGTACAACTTGATTAGTACCTTAAGGGTGCCTACAAGAAAGCTGGGGAGGGAGTTTTTGCAAGGGTTTGTAGTGATAGGATGGTGGTAATGGTTTCACATGGGAAGAGAGTAGATTTAGATTAGATGTAAGGAAGAATTTCTTCACTATGAAGGCGGTGAGACGCTGGCACAGGTTGCTCAGGGAAGTTGTGGATGGCACATCACTGGAGATCATAGAATCATAGAATGTCTGGGCTGGAAGGGACCTCCAAAGGTCATCTAGTCCAACCCCCCCTGCCATAATCAGGGACATCTCAAACCCACATCATCAAGATGCATAAGACCAGGTTGGATGGGGTCTTGTGCAACTTTGATCTAGTGGAAAGTGTCCCTGCCCATGGCAAGGAGGTGGAACTACATGATCTTTAAGGTCCTTTTCAACTGAAAACATTCTATGATTCTGTTATATTTATAATAAATTTTAGAAAGGTTTGGTGTTTTGGTTTTTTATTTAATTTTTTTTACAGGCAAAGTCTACTCATGGAAAGGACTTTGAGAGTTCCCATCTTTGCCGTGAGGATGTGATCTCAGATCCACGCAACAGACGGTCCCGCTCTGCTGGTTCACTGGAGCAGGCAGCACCTCCAGCATTCCAGAAGCATTCTCCAAGTTCTGTGCTAAACCGATCTTCTCTAAGGGAAAGGTAATGACTTAGGTCTGTGTGTGAAACTTTGAAATTGTTACCATGAGCAGATGATAACAGGATTTGCATGACTGGCATGTTTGGAGGCGTGCAGTCTGAAGAGACTGAAAAATCTTTCCCCACCAGCTATGTTGTTGTTTGACTTGTCTTCAGGTGCTGCATTTGCCTTCACCTCTCTGCTTAGTGAACACAACCCTAACAACATGGCAACCAAAAGCATCTTGGATATCTCTGCTGCTAACCTCCTCTAAAACAAGGAAGCCCCAGATTTCATGCTGCCAACATCCATTTAAAGCAGAGAATACTTAAATAATCACTGTTTCATAGGTGATTAGAATGTAAATATAGATACAGGAGTGTAAATATAGATACATGTCAAGCAGGTTTTACAGGGGGTACTTGGAAGCCTTTTTTCCCTCTGACTGGTGTTTGTAAGCACGTCCTTGTGGCTGTGCTGTGGTCAGATGTGTGACTAGAGTGCATAACACGCTTGGGCTAGCTTTAATGTAGTCAGTGTGTTATTTTCCAATCTCTCTGCTTTATTGACATGCTAACATTTTGTTGTTTGAGTTGAAACGTGGGCCTCCGCAGCAATTGCGTGGAGGTTAATTGCTATATTTAAATTATTTTTCTTGGTAGGCTCCACTGATCCCAGTGGGGTTGGGGCAGACAGCTTCTAATATCCCTTAGTTCAGTGGATTTCAATCCCTGGGCTGACATTTTGGGCAAGCCTTGCAGCTTCAGTGTCTCATGAGGGAACAGAGTTTTTCACACTCCAGTTTTTGACATTTTTTCAGGTCCCCCCAGTCCTTTGAGGAGA